CCACAGAGACAGCAAGCGGTCAACCCAAGAATTTAATTGAAATACCTGATTCAGAAGATTTTCAAGGACTGCCAAATTGTCAGAATCCATCTTATCCTCAACTTCCGGAATTTGATCAACAAACTCAGAGTCATACAATTAATTCTTCTGATGATAATCAATTTCGAGACCAACTAGACGTCTTCACTCCAACTGAATCAATACCTATCAAGGCTTTTAGCTTTTTGGTAATTTTGCAATTAAAATCTTTATAACCAAACTATATTTATTTTCCAGTGTCCAATTCTGCTGCAAATTCTACATTCTCTTTATCTATAATTCATCAAGTTGAAAGCTTCATAAATGAATTATCCACTTGTTATACTCTTGCTCCACTTTGCATTCAATTTCATGGTGAAAATTCTGATGAGAATTATTTCAATCATTGTTCAAACCATGGTATCAACCACAGAGTCGGAATCAGAACAAGAAATCCAGGAACATAAGTTCTTATCCCTGTGTACTGTCACGGTAAAAAAAAACCTGAATATGTATTGGTTGTTTATAATACCAGTAACCAGATTAGAAGACATTGTGGTCCTTATGGATTTTGCTTGGCATGTGACTTACGCAACTGAGTCATTGAGACACTAAATAGTGGGTGGGGTCAACAAAGCTCAATTTGTTTAAGTATTATCTTTATTTATAGACCTTGAAGCAGAATATCATTGTTTCTCTGATCTTATCCATTTGGTCAGGAGATATCAGGGATAAAACAATAATTTGTGTGGAAAGTTCCAATATCATTGTATAATCATTCATGGGTATATTGCATTGGAAACCTTTTGTAGCATTACTGCCTTGAGTTACACTCCCATTGACTGTAAACAATAGTGGGACATGTAATTTAACATCTTGGCACATACCATAATAATGGCCAGGTGATTTCTTGGTAGGCTAGGTTTAGAAATATGATCATGTGGAGCAGTGTGGCATTGCTGATGGTTGCTATGGAGTATTACATGTTTGCAAGGGTGTTAAGGCACAGTGAGTTATTTTGGAACAATTCAATACAATGTTATAAGAGGTCCCTGGTTGCGGGCATGCCCACATATTCTCTAGTTTAGAATAAAACAGCACAACATTCTTATTTAAAGGTAATATAGTTTTTTATATTTAAGATCAAACAGCACAGCATTCTTATTTAAAGGCCTATGTATCAGCATGTATGGATACACAATGAACTTGATAATATCTTGAAGTCCATCTTGAAGATAAATGATAGAGAATCAAAAGAAAGAAAGATAGATAGAATCATTGAGTCAGTAGGTGATGGATGATGATAGAAGAGATTATTTGAAAGAGATTACATGAGAAACTACTTACTTTATTTCTTGAGGATGTATTGAAGCCAATCATCACGCTCACAAGCTGGTGTATTGACGTATGTTTCAGCCATCACGGGCTTTTCAGCAAACAAATCTAAAGCAGCGTAGCGTTGAGCGCGTTCAAGAGTCGATTTATAGATGAGGGAAACAGCTTGTCCATGAGTGGAAGGCTTGTCCGTTTGAATTGCATGGGCCGCAGTGTCGATAGAAGCTGAAGTCGAGGCAATGGAAGATTCAATGTTGGAACCGAAGGATTTCATGTTGTCCGAGATACTGTCGATGATATCAATCCCAGAGCGTTTCTTCGTTTTAATGGGAGCACGACCTTTCAACACGACCTTGGACTTGCGGTGACGCTTTGCTGCTGGAGACTCGTCTGAACTCGAGTTATCCACCGGCTTGGAATCAATTACAGGTAAGTCGAAACCGTCAGAAGAAGGAGATTTAGCAAGAGGTTGAGGGGAAGCAGGTGGAGAAGAAAAACCATGAGGATAAGGAGGAAAAGGCTCGGGTTGTTGGGATATGAAAGGTGAAGGGATGTCCGAGATGTGTTGATTGATGGCTTCGTCAACGTGTGGGGTAGATGGAGGAATCGATAGGTCTTCGGTTTGATTGTTGACAATCCCACTCTTGATGTACTTCCCCGTAGCCTTGTGACCCTCCACTAACACACCAATGGCATCGAAAAGAGGAAATGGACGACCTTTGCACCGAGCGTACTCCTTTGCCTTTTTACTAGACTTAAAAAGAGCAAGGGATGTCAGTAAAATGTAGAAATCAAAAGAGAAAACAAAAAAACTAGAAATCAAAAGAGAAAACAAAAAAACTTGACTTACCTTATCAGCAAGAATGGGTGCCCAGACCGAATCGGGTAGCACCATGCAATCATCTTCCCACCCCGCACCACTCAATCCATTGAGGTATTTATAATCAGCATATGTATTAGTCAACTGTAGATAGATAGAAGTAAAAAAATGTCAATAAAGAGAAACGAACGTTCAGAGAAAGAAAGAACTCACAAAATACCAATGAGCCTTACAAGCCTTTGCGGTTTTGGCTGCACTGACATGAACTAAATCAGTACCGGGAATTTTCTTCTCTTCACTTCCAGCGAGTGCCTCCTCAACCTTTGTCCAAACAGTGGTCTTGAAGCCATGAGCAGTGGTGGCGTTTTCAGGTCCAATCGGTGTGTTGGCAGGCTGTCGATCAGCCGTGAGAACCTCAATCATCAACAAGTCATCTTTGTCGTCCCATTCAGCCTTGACTCTGGAGGTCTTTGGCGTTTCGGTGATTGGCGGAGGGTTCAGCTTGGAGGTCTTTGGTGTAGCGGTGATTGGCGGAGGGTTCGGAACGGTAGATGGCAACAAGGTCGGTTCAATACAAGATGGAAGAACTCGTTGATCTCGAATTGCTCTAGGAGCACGTGGTCGAGCGGCGGTACCCATAGGTTGAAGATAGTAAAGATAATAAAGTAAAGAAAGCTTGAAACGAGATACTAAAGTAAAGATAGTTTGAAACGACGATAGCAGGACGGTGAAATAACTTAAACGACAATAGGAAAATGGTGAGTTAGGTTGAAGATAGTAAAGATACTAAAGTAAAGATAGCTTGAAACAACGATAGGAAGATGGTGAGTTAGGTTGAAGATAGTAAAGATAGCTTGGATAGCTTGGAAGGACGACGATAGGAGTGAATGTCTTGAAAAGAAGACGATAAGATGGGATAGATGGTAGAAGAAGACCCTGACGAAGGTCCTCATTGGAGACTGGCGATGTAAGAGATAGAAGAGAGATGGAGAGAGTTGTGATCAATGAAACGGGATAGAAAAGAAGAGTGAAGGAAATAAAAGGGTGGGTGAAGGAAACAAAAGGGTGGGTGTTTCATGACGGAGATGGAAGTTGATTGAGGGGCAAATACGATATTTGGATCTGAAAAACACCCTTGAGGCTGTTTTTCAGATCGGATTGGTATTTGACCAAATACCGTATTTGGGCTTTGATCAAATACGGTTTCCAAACACCGGTGTATTTGGCCAAACCCAAATATGTATTTGACCCAAATATCGTATTTGGCTTTGGTGGGGTATTTGGCCAAATACGATATTTGGAACCCAGCCAAACGGGCCCTTACTGTGCTAAAAACCACTTATTTCACAAATCCCTTGTGGATCCTATGAATTCCTGGTTTATTGGCATGTTTACAATGCCTTTGACCTAAAGTTGCTCTAGATTCAGACTTATTGCATATTTTGGTGGTGTCAGAGGGCCTCTATTTGGGTGGAGTCTACTCTTATTTTCTGGAAGTCCTATGCCTCTTCTGTTTTCATCATTCTATAGCACATTTCAACCATAGTTGACCATAATAATCTCAAAATGGACTATGCAAGCTATGGTTATCTGGTGCCCACTTGCAGACTTCTACCGTAGTTGTCAGCTAATGACTCAGAGTTGTGAATTGAAAGTATATTGTGTTTGAAGACATGTGCCTTGACTAGAAAAGTGAGTGTGTGAATACCATGGCAAGAAAGGAACAGGTGCTCAGTGTTTCAGGCGTGTTTGAACAGTGCTGCAATTTCCTTAAACACTGATTGCGTACTTGCAAAGAGCACCCTAACCTCACAAAACTCACATGAGAGGTGGTAAAGCAAAGTGGCAATCTTCCAAATAACAATAAGATAATAATTAAAATTTGATCTCTTCAAAGGGTCTACTAGAATTGTCTAATCTAAATAGTTCATGTGGCTTAAATTCAGTTTCTAATCCAAGAGCTAATGCAGCAGCTTATGGATCAGATGCACCACAAACTAAAGCATGACTTTTGGGATAATTCAATAATGTTTGCAAAACTTTTTCTGTGATTGTTAACTTTTAGTGTGATTTGCAAAATATGCTCAATTGGTTTCTCCTATAAAGAATAGGTTTGGAGCCTGGGTGATCCAAGCTGAACTTGCAATGAGTAGGTCTAGCTAGAATTAGGGCAAGAGCCCTAGTTGCAAGAGGTCAAAGAAAGCTATAGTAGAATAGTTTCTAGATACAGTTGCAACTGACTCAAAGAGCATAAACAGGTCTGCTATGGGGTGGCCTAAAACATATTACAAATCAGAGTAAGAGGGAGAGGAGGGTGGGTCCAAAAAATTATATGAGTTGTAAGGAGATTAATATCAAGAGGAAGAACAGGACCGCAGAAATCTCCAGGGGAAGTACCGAACCTAAAACAACCCAGGACAACCTGTCCAATACATACCCTGTGACATGGTAAAAACCCAAAAATTGAGCTTGAACTTCTGGTTTTGTCAGTAGGTTCAAGAAGCAAAAACTTCTAAAAATTTCCCTAGAGACCATTCCATTCTTTTTCTGTCAGCATGTACAGCTATTCATGAATTTCCTGTCATGTTCGCAAATTTTTTTGCGATTTTGGTTGCCAATACAGCCCTGTACAGGTGTGTATTTGGTACAGCCAGGGACCCATCTCCCAGTTCTGGCCCGACAGCATATTCTGCTATCGGTCCCAATCTGTTGCTTGGTCCTGCTGTTTGGCAGCGTAATTCAATCAATACCCAGATCGAACTCGACGGCACACCTTCCGGCCTCCCAGACGATATCACTAGCCACCTCCCCTCCTCCAAACCAATCGATGGCTGACCCACCCAGTGGGATGTTTGGTTCTCTATTCAAACATCCATCAGATCGGAACAGCGAAGGCTTTCATGTCCACTACCTGAACATCCACAAAACTTTCAAATGGCTTAACGAGGACCCAACTCCGGTATGGTCGGTCACCAGTTTCCTCAACCACAGGTCGAGCGATTTCATGCGTCACATAAAAGGACGGCTTCATTGTCAGCTTACTCAACGATCAAAGCAAAATCTGTCATACTTATCTCCAAAACCTGGCCAGATGGGCAACCGCAAGCTCTCTCATGTCCCCCTGTGGGTCATCTTGTTCTCTTCTTCTTGTTCTCCCGTCCTCATTTTGTTCATTGTCGACTTTGGCCTATCATTGAGCTATCACTGATATTCTCTCTCTTGTTCTCGATCTTCTATCATTCAGGCGCGCTGATAATCATTTGGACAATATGTCGAGTGCAATTCGCACAAGAAGCTACCATGCCCTTGTTGCTCAAGGAACCATGATGAATGGGTAAGTGGTTCTCTCAAATAAGCACTAAGACGCACTCATATTGATGAAATGTCACTTTTGGTAGGACCCCGCCTAACCACCGGCCTATGACGCAGTCAAATGCCAGTCTGGCCCTTCCTCCAGACGCTTTGGCTGGCCGTATCTCTGCTGCTCCTGCCCCATGCGTCTTTCGGGCTACGTCCTCACCCCTCATGTCTGCGGAGCATTATCCAAACGGATACAATACCCCGGTTATAAGCCCGGTTTTGCGGCGTACTTCCTCTGGCCTGCCCCTCCCCATGTCCTCGCAATCTTTGTCTGCCTCGTTGTTCAACCAGCACATCAACCCGGCGATCTTCGACACACCGATACGTTCCCAATCTTCCTTGGTTTTGGACACCGCGGGGACCGACTTGTTGACCGAAGGCCCTCTCTTGGACGATGAACTAGGATCCCCGTCCAAGAGATTGGCTGTGAATGGACCTGCTCGTACTGAAAATGATTTGAATGACGATGACGGTGAGTGACGATTTGATTATTTTCAATCACTTGTGGAAACTGACTCAGGCGTCTTGGTAGACCTCCCGCGTGACATCTTCGACGCACCTAGGGGCTCTCAGGCTGTTGACCTTGCTCCTCCCGCCGTCTTTGATCTTACTCCTCAAAGTCAAGGTGCTCCCTCGCTGTTGTTTCTCCCCAATGAAGAACGGTTGTTCAACGTGTATTTCAATCTTTGGCAAGCCCAATGTCCCGAGGATGATCCTGTGGCGGGTAAGAAACGTAAACGCACCCCCGGAGGTACTAGACCCGTCAAGCAAAAGGTCACTAAGCCGAAATATTCAAACTATGCCTCAAAAATCCCTACAAAATTCACCATCAAACCGAAGCACTGTTCTTTTCAAGCCTTCAAGCAGGCCATGTTTTCCTCCTGCGACGAAAGGCTTCCTGGGGTCTTGGAGGTTTTCCACCGCGCCTGGGCAACCCGCAGCATCTCTCTCCTTGTGTTCGTCAACGGTTCACCTAACCACAAGGCCACCGACAAACAAACTATCAGTACTCCTCAATCATTCCAATCTTTTGTGCATGCTGCCTTGAGTGCTTCTGCCTCGACTACGATGGGGTGTAGAATTGTTCATGAAGACCCACGGAAAACGGCCCATGCCATGCGATCCATCCTGAGTGCTCCGAAACCCTCGGACAACAAATCTGAAGAGTCCGATGGTAACGAGACTGATGGTTCAGTAGGTGTAAGTGTTCCTCTTTTGTTTCGGTTATGATCCTCCACTCTTTTGTTTCGGTTGTGAATCTCCACCATGTTGACTGACAAATCTCTCTATCTACCAGTCAGGTATCCTCAGCGCTGGCGAACGAAACCTTTGCACTCTCATGACGCGATTCGCTAAGGACTTCAAGTCCGGCAAGAACGTCACCAGTGTGCCGAATCCGAGGGACTCTTCTCAAGTGCTGCTACTGAATACCGCTCGAATCCGGACCTGGGCCAACGACTGGGTGAGTTTGGTGGTTTGCGCCTTTGGCAAACTGGTGCGAGGTATCTGATCAGTCTTGATTATTCTGCAGGCTGACGGGATTCAAGGTGTCGATGAGGTGAACCCACCAATGACCCGTCCCGGTTTCCGTTGGATCCAGGCATCCGACTATGAAAAGGAGAAGAACACCCTTCTCGGCTTGACGACACCTGCCTCCGGGGTTCCCCAACCGCCTTCTACTGCCTCTGGGACGGTCGTCCATCACAATTACTATGGACAACCGTTCCCAGGTGCCCCACCTCCACCTGCCGGCCATCTCGGCGCAGGCGCTACCCCTCACTCCGCGGTTGCCAACGAGGGATCTCAACGTTTGTCGCCCCCGCCTGGAGCTCCTCCCAATTTTGAGTCATTCCTCCTGTTCGCCAGCATCCGGCCTGACTCGCAAAGGACCCGTCAAGCTTTGGCTAGTGAGGGTATCGACGATTTCCTTCGGTTGTTGGACCGTAGTACATACTCGTTGGCCAATTTTAGGTCCATGGGGATCTCTTTTGCTCACGCAGAAGACCTTTGGAAGGCTGTTCCCAAGTTTCTCATTCACCTGAAAGCTGCTCATTCCTCTTGAAGTTCTTTCCGTACCCACGTTTGTATGGATTGTTTGTTCCCCCAACCTCTTTCCTTTCTAATCATCTCGGTTGTAACCTTGTGTGTGTGGTGACGTTCAAGACTTGTGTTCTTTCTATTTTCATCTTGATCTTGACCCATGAGCGTTACGCTTGTTGATGGTTACTTGTTTGCTTCGATCGATCTCACTTGGTCCTATGACCTTTGATAATACACATCCCCTTTCACACTGCTGTCCCGAAAACAACGAAACACCTTTCATGTTGAGTATCGCCCCCCCAAATGAGATGAGAGATTTTTTTTGGCCCAAAAAAAAATTGACTTTGTTATCGATTGCACTTTGGATATCTCCAAAAGAGCTTTTCAATGAGCTCAATTCAAGTGACTCATTTTTAAAACTCACTACACATGGTCTCATATGTGGAAGGGCACCTTTGTGGCCGGAGAAAAATTCTTGGATGATATTTCACGCAAACACAATTCATTTGGGACCTTTACTAACTCGTGGTGAGCTACTAGACATTGAAACAGCGGAACAAACAAGGAAGAACCATGTGTGGACTAGACTACAGGAATCTAAAGAATGGTGCAACCTAGAGCCAATAACCACAAACAGCATACAAACGATGCATTAGAGCCCCAGTAAAAACGTGCCACGCCCTATCCATGATCACATCGATCTTTTCCGCAGCAGGGGTCCGAATTAGCTCCTGGGTCCGTCGGAGATGAGACTTCAACACACTGAAAGCCTTTTCAATGGGGTTGAGGTCGGGCGAGTAAGGCGGAAGGTACAACAGGCGGATCCCTCTCTCTTCAGCCAGCTCTGTGATCCGTCCGCCGTGATGGATACGTGCGTTGTCCATCACCAGGACGGAATTTGCTTCTGGATATCGATTCATTACCGGGAACTACAGGGAGGCGCAGGAAGAAGCGGGTTAGTGAGTTGCTGGAAATCGAAAAAAAAGGTGACTAACCAGCCAATGTTTCAAGAAGCCCTCAAAGTCGCGCCGAAGGAAGATTCCTTCTTGGCAGTCCACCGCCAGGACGCCGCCTCTGAAAATCGCAGGAAGAAGTGAAAAACGCCCGCTGCCTTGGGTCCAGGGCACCCTTGCAGTGCGATGACCACGTTTGGCGCGGCCAAACTGTCTTTGGAGAAAACGCTCTTGCACAGCACATTCATCTGCAGCATGGGTTCACAGTCAAAAGTTCCACATGTCAGTGGATGAGGATACAGTTGAAAGACATCGCTGAGGACTTACCTAGAAAGACCAGCATGTCAGGTGTCAAAGCGCCTACCGCGTGCAGATATTTGGCACGTTTTGTTGCACTTTGAGCCGGATGGACCGTCCGAGCCTTTTTTAGGGTGAGCTGAAGACGGTTCTTGAGGTCTTGGGCAATCGTATTAAGAGAGATCCAAGTGCCAGTTTGTCGGTAGACGGCGTGTCGGTACTCGTCCAGGTAAAGTCCCGGGTTGCCGTTGAGGAGCTCTAGCATGAAGTCCCTATCTTTGTCTGTCAGCTTGGTATTCCGGCCAAGCTGCTCGTAATCGGCAGGATTCCGAACCACTGAAGCTGTTTGTTGATAAAGTGCATGCCATTGGGAGATGGTACGCGCGCTAACCGTCGACTTCAGAATTCGTTGAACACACTGAATCGTCTTCCCGTCACGCAGGTGCTGGACTGCCAAGACCTTGATACCAACATCGTACTTTCCAGGTCGGACGGTTGGCCGAGTCCTCATAGCTGGCGACGATAGCACAGTGTCAGCGAGGTGGTATTGATATGGGAGATATGAGAGGGATCTTACCTGAACTAACGGTGAATGGGCGAGGCAGTGAAATCGGGATGAGTGAGGTGGTGGTTTGAGGTTGGGATGTTGACGTGGATAAACCCGGTCTGGAGACGGAATCCGTTACAAACGGTGTTGAACCTGGTTAACCTAGGTCTTACATGTGTACTACTACCAACGTATACAGGTCTGTATCCGCTGTACAGGGTGGTGGCGCAGCAACCAAAATCGCAAAAAATTTTGCGAACATGACAGGAAATTCATGAATAGCTGTACATTCAAAAGTGTCTATTTTGGTCTTTTTTTTTTGGCCAAAGCCAAAACCATACCTGTCACGCTGGTAAGTCTGAATTCAAAAAAATCTTTCTTGGCTTCAAAAAACCAAAACATACCTTTTTTGTGGGTACCTCAGCATTTTTTTGACCCTTGATCCATTCCAATTAGGACAGGTTCTTCAACCGGGGCTTTCCAGGGTCCTGGATGAACTCACATAACTTGAGAATACTCAATGATAGATAGTATTATTTTACAGCTTCTTGAGTAAATGGAATGAAGTGGGAAGAGCTGAGCTCCAGATCATCCACATGACTATAAATAGAATCATCATGAAGGCAAAGAGAAGGAAGGTAATGGAATCATTGCAAAGAAGACGGCACAGAAGTGCAATCACATGTAAGACAATGTCTTGCCCCTACTTTGCTAAACCTCTTCTTGTATCTAGAATAGGGCTATGACCTGGCCTCCCAAGCCTGCCCAATAATTTCTTGGAGGCAAGCGGTACACACCCCAGGTCAGCTGAGCTTGGCCTACAGAGCGCCAGGAGCCCCGCCACGGGCCCGGGCCCTGGTGTTTTTGGTCCTATCCCTTCAATACAGGCCCACAACATGCCATGGTTTGCTTGAAAATGCAGCCAAGCCTTTCCAGGGCCAGGCGGTACCGCGGGGCCAGGACATAGCCCTAATCTAGAAGCTCCACTGCTAGTGGCAGTGCTCATGTTGTGGGCGCGGCGCAAAAAACGTGAAAAAGTCGCGCCTGGTAGCGCCCCAAATCTTCAAAATGTGCAGGGGCGCACCCCATAGTTAGTCCGCGGGTTTTGGTCACCATCTCCATCAGAAATGCCTGAGGAGGAGTCAAGGACTCTGAGGAGTGTCCTTCATCTTGGTATTGAGATATTGGTCCAACAGTCTACACCACCAGGTCATTTTTTGTTGACCAACCGGCGGTAGGGCGTTTGAAGTTGAACCGGTGAGATCCGGTTCATACTTTGTGGGCCCACTACCCGGGCCCCGGTTTTGCAATGGTTTGATAAAACAAAGTTGATCAACCACCTGGTCAGCGGTTGACCAACGGTATTCCATCCAAACCATTGCACAACCATGGTGCTGGTCAACCTCCCCGCTGGTTCATTTATGAGCGGATGAGAAGTGGTTTTACAGCGGAGCTAAAACATTAGCTCAGAGTTTGGACTGAGTTAAGTGAAAGCTTAACAGTCCAAAATTTGTCCAACGCTTGTTCACCCTTGGTCATCTAAAACATCAAATCATCCTCAGACAATCTGGTCTCTTATTTCAAGTTTGATGTCCTCACCTTTTTCAAATTTGGAACCAATCACTCACTCAACACTAATTGTTTCACCACCACATCCTATTGATCCATCAATCAAAAACTCACTTAACAACATCAATCGAACAAAAGTGGTAATGGACCCGGCTCAAGTTCTTACAATTGAAAGACTTTCCAATTCATGTTGAATCAAATCACTTAAAACTTCAAGTCAATTTTTACGATTAGTCATCATTCTCTTCATAACTGACTTTAATTAGCCATTGAACAATTGGTCAATCGTTCACATTAACCACTTCTCTGGCATTGGTTCACACGGATTTTGGTAATCATCATCCAATCTTCATTTTCTTCTTCACCTATTCTCACTGTTTTGGATTCCTGATCATTTCTCCACTTCACTCTTTGTGCTCTGTCAGAGTCCCTCTCTCTTTGTTTGCCCAAACTATAGGTTAATAAATCGCTTTTGAAAATACTTGAACCACTTTTGGCAAACTCTACCCCATGCTCAACAGTCTTACTTCATATCGAATTTGATCCATCTCCATTTCCAAGACCTCAAGCAATCTTAAAAACAACTCAATATTTAACTTATTTACCACATTCAGGTTTTCAACATCAACACATAGCATTAGAACATGCATTAACATTAGTATATACATTAAACAGAACAAACCCCACCTTGTTTCTTTGGTACACCTATAACATATATCAGTTGAGAGAAGCTGACTCATACACTTACAACAGCTCAAGCCAAAATCAGATTAAAACATTGTCATCGAACAAAATCATAACCATTGATATTCTCATGTCTTGGATCTAATAATTAAACACTACAATCAGTTGAGATCAAACGATTCATTCAAATCGATTTTCAAACTCATTTCAATCCAAGTTCTACCAAAAGGAATCAAATGCAAACTTTTATGATGTTCTGGTCTCCAACGCGAGCTAGAATGTGTTTCTAAATGATTATCTTTGTCCTCTTGCCCCTGAACCATTTCAACTTTTTTTATCTCTCGTAGTCTATAGCTTCAGCTTGACATTCTCATTTTCATTATCTGGCCAACACTCAGGGCCCTAACTTGTATCTTATTTTTGACACACACAGCTCCCACTTGTATCTTATAGCTGTCATCATTGTATTGTTCTAGCATCGTCTCAAAATGTGATACCTGTGTTTTCAGTGCAATGAGTGGCTCAGCCTGGTCTCCTTCAATCTGAACACCATGACACATAGACCAACATGTGCATTATGATGTAAAAATGGGTTTCAACCACTTGAGAGTTGTTGAACAAGAGCAAGGGGTACTGCAAGCCAACCTGACTTGAGCAGCACAACCGGGCATTTTCCACTCATCATCGGGTTTTTCTCTGGTGGAACCCGGCTGAAAAACCGGGGGGAAACCCCCGTTGAAACACAGTTGGGAGGAACTCGTTCAAAACAAGTTCTTCCCCAGTCAGAGACAAACCGGAAATCAACCGGGGAAAAATCCGGTTGATGCACCGAAATAGTGACCTGGTGGTGTACCTCACTCTGAGCTGTTGTTGCTTGACGACAGAGTCTTGTCCCAAAGATGTAAGCACTCGCTGTAAGAGTTTCATGCGGATAGAGTCGCAGTTGAATTCCATTCATCGTGATATGTATCTCTTGCAATCTACCTTGCAATCAATGACTAGAATGGCGTGCCTGACGCGCCCCGCTGGGGCCCGCGCCACTCCAATTGAGTTTTTTTGCGCCTGGGCGCGCCCGTTTCAAAAAGGACGCGCCCACAACATGAGGCAGTAATGCACCGACCCGGTCCTGACCCGGGGCCGCCCCCCCTCTGGCCGGGTCGACCCGGCCCCAGCCATGGAATTTGCTCGAAAAAGCAAAAAAAAGCCAAAAAAAAACCTTGTATAAAAATTCTGATCTACACCGCATTGAATTTGTGCTTGTTTATCCTTTACTCAACAAGATCTCGAAGTATGGCATCGAAAAAACGCCCTTGCCGCACTTCGCCCAACCCTTCTACCCCAATAATTCTATCGGACACTGAAGAAGATCCATCACAATCAAGGTCTTCCCAGGTCGCGAAATCTACCAAATCAAGCACTTCAACATCGGTCAAGGTCACCCAGAATCAGAAGTCTTGGGTTTGGAAGTACTTCAAGACCGATATAGTTCAAGGCACCTGTGCCTTACAGTTTGCACGATGAAATACCGAAGCGTATGTAAAAAAGCATACGGCTTCGTACCGTACAGCCGTCTACAGCTCACCCAGTCGACTGGAAGCCACGTTTTCAAACCCGACAAGCACACTGCAGACTAGTCTGCTCACCCAAATTTGGAACTCACACACCAAGTCAGCTCAGACTGGTCTGGAAATGTCCAGACCAGTCTGACACAGCACACTACACAGTCAAGTCAGCTGTTTGCAACTCGCTTTCAACTACGGTTGAATTGCAATTTTGCAGAGCTTCGCCCAGTCCCTATTGCCTGCAACCCATCATCGATTCAGACTGGTCTGCAAGACCCTGTACTAAACCTCACCAGCGCATCTACAGACTAAGTCTGGTACTCTCACTCTATCCTTATATCAGACTGGTCTGGGCTCAACTCAGATGCCGAATTATTTTGATTTGGAGAACAACCCACCCTATGTATCATGATTGTACAATAGTGTTAACCTTGACCGGTGTCACGCCATTTCGACGTGATTCCTATTCCATCAACGTTTTCACCCTAGGCCTTGCACTTTTTGACTTCATCAGAGTCATTAAGCAGATTACTGTCAACCTTTGATCAATTTGGTTGTTAACCAACTCTACATATAGCATTTTTCGTTTTGATTTTTTTTGAAATGTTATCTCGACTCGATTAGTGTATAGATCAGTGTATATTAAGACCCTTATTCAGAATCAACTGAAAGGAAATTATTCACCCTTCAACAGATTTTAAAAAGATTGAAACAAGCAATCTCTTCATTGGTTAAGCAATAGTGGGCACAGATTATAGTCACACTGAATAACTTGCATTTGAGTGATTCTTGGTTCAAAGTCTTTTAGAATCTTGTGAGTTATCCTTTGGTCATCACATTTTTTGGATTCAGCGTGATCAATTCACCAATAGGTTCCTCGTGGAAGATTCTTGGTGTCCTTGACACAATAACAAAGAGTATTTGATTGATTCGTTTCTGTAGATTTTCAGATTAACACTGACATGATTGGTTTCGTGGTTCTCTTGGAACTTTTTGTTTTCACGAACCAAAGTACATATGTATTTGATGATTGGTTTATCTTGAAGTTCCCTTGAGAACTGAGCTGAAATGGTCTGACGTTTTCGGGGCATAATAATGACAACTCAACCAAGTAAATATACATACAGTCGTTTTCAAAAAGCTTGCCGCTAATTCACCGCCAAATCGCTCGAGTTTTGCGGGCAAATTTCGGCAAGCTTTTTGAAAACGACTGTAGTATGTATCAAGTATATACATATCTTGCGTGATCCAAGCGTGCGAGATGCTGTGAGCCTCGAGGGACTTCTTTTGAGGTTGGACAGTACTTACATAATCTCAAAGTCCCATGCTGACGACTGCAGCGAGAGGTAGCAAGTGTTGTGCAGGTGCTTTATTGGTTCAAAATTGAATACCAATACATAACAGCAGAACAGAGCAGTCTGACTTTGGGAACCAACAAGCATACATGAATACTTAAGGACAGTTGAATCTAATGTATGTCTTATTACATTTGATCAACATCTTTCTTCAAGACTTGAGTTTTTTAAAAACTTGCAGACGATGTGCAAAGCATGTAATGAAAAGAAATTGGTATTTGGGATTTTATCGCTTGTCTATCACCATTATCACAACAATAAATTCACAACAAGGATAAAAAAAGGTCACGGCAATGATATAATAAGATCACAGTGACAACGATCTACAATACCACCAGGAACATAAAGAACATGAGACAACCAACTGATAGATATCACCTTCATTTTAAGCAATTCCGTTGTTGTTGGAAAAAGTACCCAAACCGCTGAGAAGCTGGATTTCCATCGGCTGTACTTGCAGCAGGTGCAACTGAAGTCAAAGTGGTTTCATTCAGATCAAATCAACTTGAAGCGGCTGCATCTGCATCCACCGTTGTTGCTGCAGGTGATGGCTGAATATTGACAGCTTTCACCTTAAACTTCTTTGTATCGATGTCACTGAGCCAGTGACGTCGTGCCTTCGCGTCCATCAAGCTAAAACCCTTCATGAATTCTTCTTCCGTCATCGTCGAATCTGCATCGCGTTCAATTGTAACCTTTATTTTTTGTTCTTTGATGGCTTCAAGTGGATTGGCCACACAGGGAAAGCCCTGACGCGGGACTTCTCCAAGTACAGATTCTACATACAAATATCAACAAGATTAGGTTATGTACTGAAACATCAATGAATATATATCTTACTGAGCAGATCGTTCAACTTTGCACGCAGATTCTTCTTGTCAATGTCAGATTGATTGTTGGAAGTTTTCTTGGTCTGAGACGACTTGTTTGCTGCCACAACGCCCTTTATTTCTTCAAAGGTTGATCCATGTTGGCAATAGATGGGAAACACAGTTTGCAGTTCGGCCTTTGCATCCACCCACTGAGAGAGTTCGTCGCGTGTAGTGTACTCGCGACACCATCCCGACCCTGAGCCGTTACTACTACAAGCAATTAGATAATAATCCGTACCAAATAGCTGATGGTCGCGTGCAAGCTGAAATATCATCATAGTGAGAAGGGTGAAAAGCAAGATGAAACAAAGCTGGAAAAAAAACTCACCTGTATTGCTATCTTTTTGATAGATTGAAGGGAGCGCTTCTCCTCTTTGCAAGCTGATGCCGCAGGCGTGTTCAACTTTCGATCCTTTTCAACCTTGTCCTTATCCACAAGCTTGTCGTACAGGGGCCGATATCGAAGCTCTTCTTCTTCACTAAGTTTTGGAATCTCAGGAACCAGGGTTGAAACGTCGCCAAAGACTCCATCGTCTTCGGTTATGGTGATAGCTGAGTAATCTGGATAACCACCAAGAGCATAGAAAACTCTGGAAGTAAACACGTCGTATTGGTCATCATCGAGGGCTTGATAAGTTCGAGAGTTCACTTGGTTACGACTGGTGAGTTGATCCGAAGCATTTGGGTCTCCTCGTGGTGGCACTAAGATGAGTATTGAGCAAATCGATCAAAGATACAAAAGTTGTTAGTATTTGATACATGATTTGGAATTGGATGAACCTACTTGAAACCTTGTTGGCGTCAATTGCAAAGCTTAACCATCGGTGCCATGGGTTTTCGCCGTGTGTTCCACCTAGCAATCCCCTGTAAATTTGATATAGTGGATAAAGAAATTGAGGAAATTGAAGTGTAAGATTTGAATACAGACATACTTACAAAGAACGCTTCAGCTTTTTGATACCAACACCTGATACCATTGCGATCATGTGTAGAGTATGATCCAGGTCTTCAAGAATAGCCTGTCCTTCCGAGATCACAGCTGCACTCAGTTGATGATTTGATTTTTTTTGCTTATCAAGTTGTGCCTGAATGCGAGCAAGGGGCCAGTCTTTCTTAGCTTGATGGTAATTCTGTAAGGTAATTTCATCAATTTCTAATGATTGATTGACAGACAATGAGTGATTTGATTGCTGGGTTGTACGTGGTGTTGGAAGATAATCAAGATCTTGATTGAGGGCAGATGGCGCAATATCGGCACCAGCGGTGTTGCGCCCTACACGTCGTGGTCGTTTTGCAGCCGGCAAGTCACCTGAAGGCGTTTGCGAGGCTGGCTGCTGTTTGGAATTGGTCCGAGTAGAACGGGTGACTCGCTCAGGTGGTGGAGGTGACATAACAACTAGATGTGTTGATGGGATTGGCGGTTCGGAGTTGAAGTGATGAATTCGGTTAAACAAATTGAATCCGTGTAAAAAGGAAAGATCTCAGCGAATGACTTTCACTGAATTTGTGAAATCACTGACTGGTGTGTAGTTACAAATCACAGATTTTGACGCATGTATATTCATGTCACAGTATTGTAACTCACCAAAGCAAGGAAGGTCTAATCCATGCTCTCTCCCATGTTGACCAACACTCAATGCTTCTATATATACATCAATATAGGCAATAACCTCATATCAACACAAATGATACTTTTTGATTGTATATTGGGAAAATATTGTGTAGTGACTACCCATAGATGGATGTGATAGTATAGTTTTGGCTTTGTGAATATATAAATCAAACAAATACCTGGAGCAGTGTGGAATCAAGAGATACATTACATTCATGTGAGATATTGGGGAATTCAAGTGATGCTTAGATAATCAATCTATATAGATAGATAAGGAAACTACTGTCTTTAATTCTTTTGCATCACTATTTGACCTATTTGCGGGAGCACACTTCACTAATGAAACATTTTTTAGTGGTGTGCAAACATAAATACTGAAGGTTTGATTAATTCTTGCATTAATGCGCACTCAAATTAACCAAATGCAAAAGTTCTCACACCAACCAAAGAACCATTTATAGCCTGATCATTGACCCTGTTGCAGTCTTCAAGCCATTTTGTGGAAACACATTTCATCAATGAAACTTTTTCAAATTGTGCGCAAGTTGGACTTATGAAGCATTTTCAGGATGCTGGAAGTTTGGGCATTAAACTAATTTAATTTCTAAAGCTCATATACCTACCAAATAACCACTTAAATCATTGTTATTGACCCCGTTGCAGTATCAAAGCCAATCTTTGGAAACACATCTCATGAAAGAAACTTTTTCAAATTGTGTGCAATTTGGACTTATGAAACATTTTGAATGCTGGAATTCTGGGCATTAAACCAATCAAATTGCCAAAGCTCACACACCTACAAAAGAGCCACTTATAGCCTCATGGGTGAGATTTGACCCTGACTGTTGATTCATGTAGTGTAAGTAAACAAATTGTTTGTGGAGAGAAGCCAAAAATTGACTTGGATCCATAATCCTGGACTATAGCCCTTTGAAATAATAAACTTTTTTTTGGGTGGTCACATCACCCATATTTTTCCCCAATTTCCATAGGCGGTCATATTATTGCCCACTAGATCAACATCAGTTGATGTGCTTTCAATTTGTAAAATGCTACTCAAAATTCATTGGTCACTGATCATCTTGTAAGCTATTACACTGCAATAATTTTCCACAACATCAAATCCACAACTGCCAAACAGATATGATTCATGATAACTGCTGGGCTGTATAACTCAATCTTGATGAGTCCTCACTTCATGTTTTACATTAAACTTCCAAGAGGTAAATCTTGCAAATTTAAATTCAGCAACTGTTCATCAGTCACAGGCATGAGTGTGGGAGAATTATCTATCAAAGAATCATGATCAAAAAGATCTATTTTGCCAAGGAATATCTATATCTCTTGTCATTCAAAAGACAGATAATAATGTCTTTCTTGGAGAGATACTTATTCAAGAGGTGTTCATTAATTTCCATCCAAGTGGGTAAATCAACTCTCAATCCACATATCTTTCACCCATTAAGACTTCCAATGGTTCAAGAGCTGTGTCAGTCACGGTGGTTCAGATGTTATTCATTTATGTACTCAGGTAATGATAGTTGATGATTCTCAATTCAGGTACTTTGAAGTTCTCAGTGCCAACTTCACAATGTATTAGTGAGATGTTATTGATATCATGAGTCATCCAGGAGTGAGAGTCAATACCAACTCTCTCTTTGGTCAGAACGGATTCTAAAGGTGAAAAGCTGCTCTGCGAATAATTTATCCAGCAACGGTCCAAAAATCTGTTGTTGAAATCCTTGGTGAAATCAAACCACTTGGATCCCCAGTAACAATGGACAACGGTAGGATAGCATCAGGCCGTTTACTCAACTGATAAACCATCTGAATGTAGGCTAACTCCCAATTGGGATTGGAGGCTGGACCACCTCTCTACATAGCGTTTGCCCCATTGAGATAGTAAGTTTATTCAAGTCAAACCTTTCAGTCGATCCTGGTCAACCCTTTTGATCCATTCATCACTTTCTTTCAATTACCATTCCTTAAACTACACATTCCAACTCAACTCTACACAAATGGGCAAACATGGTCGCAACATACCTTGTCCAACGGGCGGCGTCAAAAGACCAAAGAATCCTGAGACTGAAGCAACTCGCGCGAAGGCCGAACGAGACAAAGTCAAGTTGGAGTGGGGTCAGAAAAGATGTGAAGAAATTATTCAAGCAATCAACCCCCCTCTTCCTGACCCCAAGCAATCCGCCTCATCACAGAACGAAGATATATACCAAGATGAAGGTCTATTGAACCACCCAAATCATGATTCAGATGATGATTTCATAGATAATGAGAACGCAAATCAAATAGTTCCAGCCAGCTTAACTCAGTTGATCACAGGTGATACATACAAGCATCAGCGTCTACAAGAGGATGCTCAATGGAAAGAAATTATGCAGCAAGTCTTCATTGCTTTTATGCAAGGCTCTCAGCGCACATCAAGCTGGGGAAATGATTCATTGTGGTCCCATGACTACAATGACAAAGAGCCATGTTCCTGTGGACCAAGGCTTAAGCGCACTCGTGCAGTGGATACTATTGATCTAATCTGTAAGTCGATGATTTAAATTTTGATGATCCAAATTTGTCAGTTCATAATGCTGAATGACTGGAATCCAGTTCGCCGGAAGATCACTGTGCAGTTCTGTGGTTGTACATCTGATCAAGTGCGATTGATAAGGCTGGGCTACTTGGGAGGAACACCGAAGTCTCCTGAGACTGCCTTCTCTTTAAGGCTCCTTCGTTTTTATCACATTTTGTGGAAGTATTGTAATTCAAATATTCAGCCATTTGCACTGATGATAGACGAATATCTGGACGCTTTCAATCCTCTGTTATTGGTGGAAGGAACACAAGAGGTGTGATTTGATTGTGATTAACTGATTAATAAAGTAGAACTTGATATGTACTAACACAGTTTCGGAACAGCCTTGACTCTGGCGCAAACCACTTTCAGGAGCTGTAACATGCTATCGCCAGATACTCAAAGGTATAGAAGAACTTGAGAATCATGCGCTAAACCTTACCCCCTTGGAACGACTCGCCGCAAATCGCCCTCGTTGTTTTGGTCCCTCCGGTGAATGTGGAATACAAAAAGGTCCACAATATATTGTATGTGTTGATGGAAACTTCCAGCAACGGCGTCATGAGAAAGCCAGTCGAAACTTTGAGGAGATCTCGCTTTCAGTTCCTTCTGTATTTATGCCAGCAGCAAAAGTCGCGGAATGGGAGCCCCAAGTAACAGGGAATGTGCGAACGGATGTGCCGCTGGTTCAGTAACTACAGCTAATCTAAAATTACACACAGGACTAATAATTCTTGCTGCTATAGGACCCATGTACACAGCAGCATACGGCTGCTGAAGACAGGCGAAATGCTTCCAGCTGGAAAGGTAGTGAAGAAACAGGCTTAATCGGGTTAGCTTGTCGTCACGACCACATGATCAAAATGGTGAATATCATTCGAAGTGGTGAAAAGTAGGCCCCGATCTTTTCTAAGCGCTTGTGTAAGTTGGTACTAATGGGGTTATCAGGGCCTATTTCGTGCACGCTTTGCTGGGAGAATTGTTCGCGTCAGTCATGGAAGCCAAATCAGACACAAACAAGGCTGGTGTGGCGCTTTTATATGATATTGGTTGTACCTTAGAAAAAGGTGTGATCAAAGTAAGTTCTTTAACATGTTACCACAGCTTCCATATGGTGAGACTTACGAGTTTTTTCAGAACAACTTATTCATAACCGAGCGTTCAGATGATCGTTTGAAGTTTGGTACAAGCGCTTTTCACGCGTATGTACATCAGTGGTCATGCCAGCTTCAATATAACCCGCGGCTCAATGCTGGTTGGGGACTTTCAGATGGTGAGGGCTTGGAACGCGAATGGTTCAAGATCTCTCCACTGGTTAGTTCCCTTCGATGGGCTAGTAGTCAAACCCGTATGGATGCTTTGCATCTGAAACTGCAGCACAGAAACTGTATATCTCGTAATAAAGCTGGTGGGCTCCTTTCATTTAGAGTTTTCTGCACCAGACTGATCACACTTATAATTGATGTCCCTGTTCTACAGCGAAGTCGGTATTACACAAGTTGAAGGTAGCCGAAACAAGACTCAGCAATGCTCGTAGTGTGCTCCGCGAATTGGAGTCAATTAAAGGTCTCACAGTTCAATATCTATCTGAACAGTGGGAGTGCCAGAAAACTTGTCAGTCAGAGATCATGGAAAACAACACCATGAAAGAACTAAAGGTTCAAGTAGCGCGCCTGATCGAACTTGAGGAGGAATTCAAAGAAGCTCAGTGAGTAATTACATATTTGTATTTGCACAATACAAAACTTCTAGTTGAACACTTGTAGTTTTGATGTGTGATAGTAAGCAACTTAAGAAACTTCGGTGTCAAAGACGAAGAACTATGTCTCAAGAGGAGCATGATGCCCTGCGAGAACTACCTTTGTCACTTGTGGTTCTAGAAGAATCAATAGCAGAAATCGTCACGGACTTGGGAGGCGATGAATATAGAGATTTACCCGAAGTTAAAGGTTAGATAGGAGATTACGATATTTCATTATTGTTAATACTCACTATATTTCTCTTAGATGCTTGTGCTTGAAATGTCATGAAGATCCGAATTGCAAAAGAAAAGCTATATGAAGCTGCAGTGGGAAAGATAGAGTGGCCAAAAAAGTGGGACAGACCAGGTATTGGTGAGTGACACGTATGATCGATACTTTCATTTCAAGAATTGATTCTTTTTGTGCATAGGGACTTCGGATCAACCGAGATACAAG